ATTCATTCTTTCTGCTGTGAATTGATCTATTTTGTTACTTCCTGTGCTAGGAGTTCAGGGTGTCCTGGTGGTCTGACTTTTCCACCTTGTTTCCCCTAGAATTTGCCATTGGTGAACTGGAATTCTGTATCTGTGCCTTGCTTAAGTGTTTTCTCATTTCTATTTTTGTTGTTGGGCTGTCCTTGGTTTAATTCTTGGGTTAGTACTTTGATCTTCCTGATATAGCTGCTCTTTAGGTTTTCAGTCCCTAATGACTCAGAGACACACTCTCATTTTCATATCAGAAAGGACAACTCATTAAATCAATCATAACCCTTTAGCCCAATTGATACAATCAGCAGCACAATAGCATCAAGTACAGCTTAGAAACTGACCATTTGTGGTAGTTATTAATCTATCACCTTTAACCATGTGAATTAAATAAAAATCGAGGACCAGCCCAAAATATTTATAGTGAATACACTCTTCAATACAGTAACTTTACCCTTCTGGATGGTGACTTAGAAGGAGTTGGGAGGAGAAGAATAGATAGGTAGAAGGATAGGAGAAGATTTCAAGTGAATCCAGAGGACACAGGATGATCACAAAAACTGTAGTAAACTGTTGAAGACAAGAGGGAAAGACAGAGTGCAAGAAAAAAGACAGGAATCGAACAATTTAACAATAATAGGGAAGCTATAAATTGTACTCACTTTCCTTTGAATCTAATGACAATCAAGCAAAGGAAAAAGAAAATAAATAAAAGAAATCTGAATTAGGGCAGGAACAAGAACAAAAAGGGAGATGAATAATGTGGGGAAGCAAGAGACTGATTGGGAAAAAGAATAAAGAAAAAAGGAAAAATTTCAGAATCAGAAAAAATAAAATTAAAAATATGAGGAAAAGAAAGTTTGAAGAGGCTTTTTCAAGGTAGATCTCTGCTGTCGCAATAGATAATGTGGGCAGCAGTGTGCAGAAGTAAGTCAATTAGTCTCAGCTAGCCAACAGCAGACCCCTGAGATTCAGGCTGAATTCTGACTGCAAGGCCCAAGTTGAGCTCCTTGACCTCCTGCAGAGTTAAACTCTGCAAGATTCTACTACAGATTCCTGCTGCCCTTCCCCTGAAGATAGTCCAGGTTCTGTTGGAAGGTAATGATCCCTCCAATTTACCAACTACAGAAGTCTGATGTGCCTTTATTGCAGTTGTTCACTTGCGTTCCATCTTCTGAAGCTCAGTACAATGGCCTTTATGACCACCTGGTCCTCTGCAGTGTAGATCCAGGTACCGGCACAACCAGGCAACCCGAGATCACGGGTTGGTGGGGGGGGTGCTGCAGAGGTGCCCACACAGCTGGGTGTTCCTCACCAGTGTGCTCTGATGAAGGCCCAGGCCAAACTATTTCTTTTGATTGCCAACTTTTACAAATTCAAAAGAGATAAGTGACAAGTACAAGCTAGTGTTAACTATGTTTGGTAGACATGTAAAAAACAAGCAAATTAAGTCAGTTCTTATTTATTTTTATCATGTTTATATATATTTTTAAAGTAATCATACATTATCTTCAATTTATGCCTTGTGAGAAGCCTTTGTTCAAGTTCGTATCAATAGAGAAAATGTCCATATTTTTCTAAACTAACACGCCACATTACCTCTGAAGTGTCATGAAACTGCTTTAAACCTCAGGGCTTTCAAAAAAAGTTCACTTTACTTTGTTCTTCTGATAAAGCCAGTGTGTATTTAGCTTTAGCATTTCTTTTCAGCTGCTAGGAGGGGGTAGAGAAAATTATATCTTAGTCATTATGGTACATTTAAAAACTACACTGTGATATAAACCTAAACATTTACATCATTTTGAGATAGGTTACTTCATAAGTCCCATTTTCCATACTATCAATTATCTTTCCAAAATCCAAGACAAACTTATAGTTCAGTGAAAAATCCTTCATTGACTTCCTATGGCTTTGTCCCCTCTTTGACATACAAGATCTCTGATTACATTTCCAATCTGATCTCCCACCAACATTCTCATGTATGCACTTTGCTCAAGACACAGGAGGAAAAAGTCCCTTTTTGAGACTCCTGCCTTCCACCATGTTTAACTGGATTGCCCTGTCAATTCTAATCTTAAATTTCTTGACAACCCTGTCTATGCCTCCATGATGAGTGAAGAGCTCCTCAAAGTTCCCATAATGCCCTTTGCATACTTCTATCAATCATAGTCATGAAACCTCTTGTAACCAGTGGTAAGATCCAAAATATCTTCTTCACTACTTTGGATTCTGCCTGCCACATAGAAAGTCTCAACAAATGTTGATAGCTTAAGAACAATAACCTTTTATTTTAAATGTTAACTTTGGAAAATAATTTAAAAGTAACACGCTAAATTTACCCATATCCCTAACATTTTTACCCAGAAAAAAAGGAAAGAATTTAAAGGAGCCATATGCAGTTAAGAAAATAAATATAAAGTACGCAGAGAAATATTATTAACTTTAACTTCACACCAGCTTTTTAAAAGCCATGTGTATTAAGGGTTGCAATATTTGAATGTTCAAGATATTTCTTCTTAAAGTGTTTACATCTAAGTAGTTAACTGTCATAAAATTTAACATTAACATGTTTTCTTTAAAAACATCACATTACTTTTAATTTTAAAGTATCCTTTCTTATTATGTTTGTGATATACAATAATTACATTCATCTTGGAGAACTGGAACATATAAATAACATGTAAATCATTGTACCTTCCCTTCCCTTCCTGCCTTCTCAGACCCTATTTCCTCAGTACACCTCCCTGTTTTCTATTCTCTATCTTATAATGCTCTCTATACATGATGCGCAAATATGCCAAGTATTTACTCATGAGTTCATATAAGAACTGCAGTATTTGCAACTTGAATGTTAAGTCAAGGACTTACAGTATAGAAAACTTCAATTCAGTCTTCCATTCATTCAGATACATTGTTTGTAATATGAGATAGAAAACCACTAGGGAATTAAATTTATTTAACTTATTTATAATTAAGAATTTCCTTCAAGTTTAATACTGGGGTTTGGGAACTGGAAACTTTTTTGACATCCATAAGTGACATTTAATTGAAATACACAACTTTGAGAACACAATACTATTTCTTCCTTTTAATATCAATAAATTGTTGAAAAGATAGCAAAAGAAAGGTATGTCATACAGCAGTATTCAAAATAAACTTTCAATTATATAGAGTATGGCATTATCTAACTTTACTGAAAATCATTTAATTATAAGTGCAATGATAATTTTAAGCATAAAATACTTTAATAAAAATATAACAAAGTCATGAATATTTAAATTTATATGGATATGTATATTGTAAATTTAAGTTAAATCAACACAGGATAAAATAAACATAAAAGGTTACTTACAAATTCTATATAATTTCTGATGAAACATACAAATACTTTTTTACAATACAAAAATGCATTAATTCCCCTACCAACACTAAAGAAGATCTGTCACCAAAATATATCACTATATTTTAGAGAGGGAAATGCTTCACATTTTCATAAAATATAAACTGAACAAAGTAAAATTCTTTTTTATATAAGATAGATCCTGTAAAAATCTAGCAAAAATATTAAAAAAGAACACCATATCTCATCCTGCCTTTGTTTTTTGTGTTTGTTTTGTTTTTGGTTTTGGTTTTTTTGGCACAAGGCTAGGGACTGATTCCAGGGCCTTGCTCAGGCTAGGAAAATATTCTACCACTGACTGACTTACATCCCCAAGCCAATCAGATCCTTTTTAAAATCCCATTTCTACATATTGTTTTAAGCTAAATTCTTTAATCATGTATAATTTATTGACAAAATCAGCTTCTTATTTAGTCTCTTGGCCTGTCATATTAATGTGAGATACTGTAAAATCAAGAAGACATTCTGAAAATATTTGTGACTTTTATCATAGTATAGATTATTTCTTATCCAAAATGCTTAGGACCAAAAATGTTTTCATTTCCTTTTTGTTTTCAAATTTTCTAATATTTGCATATATATAATGAAATCTTGGGAAAGGGATGCAAGTCTCAATACAAAATTCATTGACATTTCATAAACCTCTTATACATATAGCCTGAAAGTCATTTTGTGCAATTTATGTAGTGTGCCTGCATTTTGATTGCAACCCTTATTACATGAGGTCAGGTGTAGAATTTTCCACGTGTGGTGTAAATGCTCAAAAAGTTTCAGGTTTTGGAGCATTTCAGATTTTATATTTTCAGATTAGAGAAGTTCAGCCTGTAATGATTTCCATACTGTTAGGGAAAAATCAATAGAAATGACTTAAAGAACTTCCTGAAAGATGACACTTGCATCATAAGTTCACTAGAATCCAGAGGCTATTCGTGTGCCAAAGTATCTATTTTCACAGTGTAATCGCACATCAGCTCCATGTCTGAGTGAACATTAACTACAATCAATAAAACTTCCCTTTCTTAACAGAAACAATAAATACTGGTTTTTTTATTCACCAAAAATGTTAAGATCTATATCACACAAATGATTACATTTTGTATCATATAAATAAAATATCTGTATCTTTCATTAGAGAAATTGCAGTCCACATGAGTCCTTGAAACATTAATGTGGAAAGAAAAACAAATGCACGTGAATCGAAGAAATTATGAGGTAATATTTCACAAATGTGACAAATGCTATTAAATGACTGCCTTCTATTATCTTCTTTCCTGAAGTACCCATGTACATGATTTAAATGTGCATAAGCCTTAAATGTTTTTCTTGTAGACATTATCAAGCACAATTCAAAAATTTTTTTCAGGCTGGGGATTTAGCTCAGTGGTTCTGCCATCTGCCTTCCAAGCGCAGGGACCTGAGTTCGATCCCCAGTACAAAAAAAAATAATAATAATTAAAAAATAAAAATAAAAAATGCTGTTCATGGAAATTATAGGAAAGAGGACCAGGGATTTACTTCAGTTGCGACATGCCTGCCTCACAAGTGCAAAGTCCTGCGTTTGATCCCCAGTACCACAAAAAATTTAAAAAAAATTTTTTTAATTATACGAAAGAAAGACATAAAATAATTTTAACAGAGTAAGAATGAAAAAGCTCTTGCCTAAGAGTCTCCATCTTAATTGGCTGAGGTTCTTATTTTAGGCTGAAACTGCATCACTAGAATTGCTGCCTTTGAACATTTTGTCTGTGGAAAAAAGCCTTTCCAGATTCATATGTACTGATCATAATGGCACAAGCAGGAGCAATTTTAATTAAGCGAGGAATCAGACCTAAAAGAGAATGAGAGGAAAAAAAACAACACAAAGTTTACCTTTTGTAAAAAAATATAACTTACTTGGCTCCATTCTTGTAATGAACAAATTGCATGAAATCATAGATAAAATTCTGTACCATGAGTGGACAGCAAAGAAGAGGTCAAACTACTTACTCCCAACCTCCCTCCTTGAGTTCCAGGTGAAAGGGAAATTTTATCTTACTGAGAATAAATCTACTGTTCTTTAGCATTTATTTTCTTATCTTTTTTCTTTTTTTTTTTTTTTCTGAGATAAGGCTTCACCATGCACTTCAGGCAGGCCTTGAACACACTGCGATGCTCCTGCCTGAACCTCCCAGGACTGGGACTACAGGCATGCACCACCACACCTGGCTAGCACTGATTTTACTTAGAGCAAACATAGTTACCTATAGCGATGATATTTAGCTATTTCATTATAGCAAAAATATTTACTTTAACCAAAGTATTTTACTTATAGTAAAGATATTTAAAATGTTACCTGTAATTTTCTTCTGAAAGTTAGTTTTATAAGATGCTAGATTTAAAACTAATCATTCTATTCAATGATCAGTAAAACATGTTTTTACCTGCAAATAATCCAGAAAATCCATTTTTAGCAACAATGTTCTTCATTATAACCCAGGTTGTAAAAAAAAAAAAAAAAAAAAAAAAAAAAAAAAAAAAAGCTATCAAAAATCACAATTTAATAATTTCTAATACAGATAAAACATATACAAGGGTGTTCATTGCTTTGGGAGTACATGATTTCACTATATTAATCACCTAAAATCACCTACAAAACCATCTAAAGAGATCTTGAATCTTATTTTTAATAGACACATTTTTACAAAGGGTTTCAAGTAAAAAGGTGTGAACAACTGGATGGAGTCAAGGAGATGGAATACAGAAAGTTTCTTTGGAATTAAGGTCTGCATTGTAAAACTTGCTAGCATTATTCTTTTTACTTTTTGTTATGTATTAAAACTCTTCCATAATGATTTCTTAAAATGGTGTATAGAAACTTTTATAGGGTATCCAAATGCCAAAGAAAAGTTAGATAACGACAATTTTCATTTTGATTTTATAGTCTATAGTTTAAAAAAAAAAACTTTTTTCCTAAAAAAGATGTTCTAAGACAAATAAATTACTTTTTGGAGTAGTGTCCTGCTTTATTACAAGTAAATTAGAACAATAATGTCTCCTTCAGAGGACAGAGTTTAGATTACAGAACTATACCATCTCAGTTATTAGCAATCACTCAATACGGGGAGGGAAAAACTAGTTTTAAGCATAGCCTAAGTAGAAGTTACTAAATTCAAACATAAAGTTTATGAATAGCTATACACAAAGTTTACTTACCTTCATTTTACACCCTGATTCTAAGCAGCTAACTTAGCTCACAGAGTACTGGATGCAATAAGGGGAAAAGAACAAGTCTCAGAAGCAGGCATCTATCACGCAAATAGTATGACTGCTGATAGGCTGACAATTTCAAAGTCTTGGTTTGAGACCAGTTAGGTGGTAGGCAAATAGTCTTATATTGTCCTCTACAGCTTTTGAGAATTGCATAATAAAACGCTACAATAACCAATGTTTACATTGATGGCTATCCTTATTTTTATTAGTGACTAAGCCTGATGGAATAAAGAAAAACTCAGAAATGGCCTTTTTTGATGCAGATTGGCTGAATGGATTAGAAAATAAGACTCAGCAATATGCTGCCTGCAAGAACTTGTGTTACAAATAATGAAATATACAGACTGAAAAAGAATGAGACATTCCATAATCATTAACTGTTTATGATAAACTACACCAAAAAAATATATTCCTACTATATTAAATAGGTCTCTTAATAGGGGAGATAAATTCTGATGAAAAGGAATAATAAAACTTTTTGGCAGGGTATGGGGGTTGAACCAAGGAGTGCTCTACCACCAAACTACATCATCAGTCCTGTTTTGAATATTTCAAGACAGGATCTTGCTAAGCTGCCTAGGCCAGCTTTGAACTTGCAATCTTCCTGCTTCAGCCTCCCTAGTATATAAGATTACAATCACGTGTCATTGTGTATGGCAAACAAAATAATTCTGAACTGTCTGGGAAGGACAGACAGAGCTTAGGCAGCTAGAATCTTCACACCTAAAAGAGGGAAAAGGAAGATCTTTGATTACCTCCCAGATTTTCATTTGTGTTTAATATTAGAGGAAATTAGGTTTTCGGTAGGCCAAACACAAGGCTGTCACCAGTATCAATCAGATTTATTTGCAGAGCCTATAATAATGTTTCTTTCAACATTATAATACTAACTATATATATTTTGCAAAATATTACTTTATAAAGTGTGATAATTTATTTACATTACAGTAAGCTATCATAAGGGTTATAACACAGTGCTGTAATGATAACTTCCCATGGGTTTACTGTGCTGTCTGAAGAGAATACAGAAGAGAAGCAGAAAAAGCAAGTAAGAGTGACACTTTTTTTCTAAGAGAAATTACAGGCTACAAAAGAAATAAAAAGAGATGATAAAACAGCAAAGGCATACTAAAAGAAACAAAGCTAGAAACCTACCAAACAAAAATATGCACACATTGTCACAAAAAGCACAACAATACAAGAAAAAGATTCCCAGTCATTTCCTACCCATTACACTAATTTGTCTTCATTTAGTTTACTGGTTTACTTAAAAGAATACTGTACTTTGCAAGAAAAATAATGTGCACTTGAAGGAGACTGAAGACAAAGAAATGGGCTTTAAAATTTCTTAAATTTGTTTGGGGTTAGACCATTTTTTCTGAGTATTCCACTTTAACAGTACACATTTGTTTTATTAAAGAAAGAATAAGGTACAATGAAAACAATCTTATTTTCCTTATTTTAGATATACCTAACAGTATCTAGAAAAAAAACCAAAAATGGCATCTTCAAAATGTTTAAACTTACTTTTATGACTTTCATATGTCCAAAGTTGTGTCTGCTTTTGTGTTTTTACGACATCAAATGGCAAAGTTGCAACAGCTGCAAACTATCCAAAAGTAAAATTAATTTAAATCTACCTTTCAATTCTTCCCAAAATATTCTTAAACTCCACTATTGGCATATGATTTAACAAGGATAATAATGAAAATCAAAGGTAAACTGAGGCTTAAAACAAAACCAAAGGCAAGTTTTATTAAAGAAAATATTCCTCATAAAGGTCAGATGTAAAAGTTGCAGAGACTTTCTTTTACTTCCCTAAGATCACATGACCACTAGCGGCAGAGCCGGAATTCCACTCAAACCTCTGAGAGCAAGACCAATATTCTGGTTTCCATGCTCCTGTATGTTCCACAACTCCTTTACTTCACATACATGAATATAAAACATGTATTTTAAATCAGAAATTCTATAGTATCTAGTTAGCATCTAAAATTTTCCACCAAATGTTTTTAAAAGAAATGGATTAAAAATATTAAATTTCAGCATGAAGAAAATAAACTTGGTCTATATACCTTTTATTAATGTATTGTTTTTTCTTGTGTGTGTGTGTGTGTGTGTGCATTTTTTTTT